AGGCTCTTATTTTATATTCTAGCTTGTCAATATTTGTAATTTGAGTTTCTAATCCATATGAAACCATTGACGTAGTATTTTGACTTCACAAACATCTAACTTGAACCAGTGCTGCAATCGACATACCACATGACACACTGAAACTGATGTTTATGTTTTTTTTTATATTTACTTTTAAATTAAGAAATTGAATAATGTGTAATACTGAAAGTTGAATTGTAATCTACAGTTTGATACCAAAGTTATTGACATAAATTCATGAAATAGTAGTTCAATAAAATTTCAAATGCGAGTCAACAAACGAGATGACATGGCCTTTTACCCGTGATCAGTCTCAAAAGGGTTAGTATCATGTTCCCTCTAGCTAACATAAAAATTGCAGCATTAAAAATATAGGTTACAACAATCTATTTAATTACCTATGAGAACGGAATGCATTGATAAGTGTCCCAAAACTAATCAATTAATCAAAACTAATGTTCCCAATTATTCCAATAATCAAAATTAAGATTGAATTGATTGTCCCATAAATCAAGTGTCTCAAAACTAATTGATTAATCAAAACTAATGTTCCCAATTATTCCAATAATCAACTGATCAAAATTAAGACTGAACTGATTGTCCCGTAAATCAAGTGTCTCAAAACTAATTGATTAATCAAAACTAATGTTCCTAATTATTCCAATAATCAACTGATCAAAATTAAGACTGAACTGATTGTCCCATAAATCAAAATTATGGTTTCCTAACCCTATTGGTTTTGATTATTTCAAGTAACAAAACAATGCTATTATGGTTGTTTGTTGTTAAACACAAAGCTATATAATGAATTATCTATGCTCTGCCAAAGTTTAGTCTTATATATTGTTGTTTTTTATCTTCAAGATATTTCTCTATCATTGGTGGTTAGGCAGGGTAAAGTGGGGCAATCATGATTCAAGGTTCTTGGGTTTGATTCTCATTGCCACCAAATTCAGTTGCCTTATGCTTGTTTTTTTCAAAGCCATTAAGGCTGTTTGGCACTCTCACTAATTTTGATCTGCTTACTAGGAGTAAGGCAACCAATAACCAGTTGGCAACACTTGTCATCAACATTTTTTATCTTGAATAACTGTTGACTAAAGGGAAAGCAACTGCTTGACAGTACTCGATGCCAAGATTGTTTTTTCTTTTTAAACTGATTAATGAGGCCATCAATTTATTGCTCAAACATTCTAATTTGTTTATAAGTGCTAATATGATGAAACTGTTGAAATTGCATGCAGTTGTTGTTGTTCTTTACAATAGTTTTAGTATTTATTTATATTTCAGATTTTATCACACTGTGACTGCATTTGTTGTTGTTCACAAGTGACAGAGAGTATAATGACACTAAATGTAACATTTCTTTTGGGACAATCAGAAGTAGTGCATATATGTATATATATATTCTAATTCTTTAATAATTGTTACTGTGTTTCTGTCTTGCCAACACTAAAGATTTAACTTAATGAAGAAGAAAATTCAGAATATTTTCTGTAATGCATCCTCTTTATGATTTATACAACACTATTGACATTTCGCCTGTATCCTGTACTGACTTCTTAGGTGTTTTCAAAATAAGTGTGCAAATCAAATTATGACAGTGTACATCAGAAGTGTGCAAAAAAATTTAAATTGCCAGTAGAACTGACTGGCAGGTTAGTAGTATCAGTACAAGCCCTTGGTCACCATAAATAGTTGGTTTATTTTATCATATCTGTATAGTTTCTTTTATATTTTTATTTGTTTCTGCTTTTTAGCATTCTGGTTTTCTCAATAAATATCATTAGAATACACATCAAAAAACAAGATATTGTGACTGAAGGAAAACCCTGCTTTAAGTGTTGTCCAGTTTACATATTAAGGTGAGAATTGACAGGTGAAAATATATTTGAAATACTTTAAGTTGCATGCTGTGTCTAGCATGCTATAGGGTTCCAAGTGCATGCTCATTGGGAAAACTTTTGATAAAATTAGGAGCTCACTAGTGCATTCTGTTATTTTCAAATATATTTGACATATGTGATGCCCTTAAATTTTAAATTAAACTAATCAAATTTGGTTAGTCATTTGACAGTTCTATGTGCTTTTTAGTATTTCCATGCTTCAAAACTGTAAAAAGCATAGTTTATATAAATTCACTAAATATCATGAATAAAGCTTTTCTTAGTACACCAAATTCTTTAATGAATTCTCAGAGTTTTGACTTCACTGCTTGTGACTTACTACAAATAAGGTAATTTCTAGTTCTTTCACTAACCAAACCCACCTGAATGTTTTTAACCAAACTATCAACTTGTGCAGTAACCATTGCCAATTTTTTAATTCATTCCATTGATAAATAAAATTAATGTGCAAATTCTCAATGAAAGTTTTGCACAAAGTATTCACACAATTTTGTATAATTATGAATATGTATTCAGTAGCTTTTGGCTTGTGGTAGTTATATGCAAAATATCAAAATGTAGAGAATATGTAATTATTGCCTAGGGCTTAAACATGGCAGCACTTGTTTATGAAAGCTCAACTTTGAATGAGTTTTATTTTTGAGTGTGTTACTGGAATGGTAAAATAGTCAATAAAGTATTATCCATGGCTCATTGGATTATTGCTAACCTAAAAACATCCCTGAGCAATATTAAAAATTTGGGAGTCTTGTTAGGCCTCATTTAGAGTACTGTGTCCAGTTTTGAGGTCCCCACTTTCAGAAGGACATTGAAATGGTTCAAAAGAAAGCTAATACGGTGGAAGGTTTATCATACAAGGACAGGTTAAGGTCCTTAAAATTACTTTCTCTTAAGAAAAGAAGAGTTAGAGGAAATCTGATTGAAATATTCAAGATTATAAAGTGAATAGATAGAATTGATGCATCATCTTTTTTTGTGTTTAATGTTAAGTGTTAGATTATGGGTCATAGATTTAATATCTGGCATGGTAAAAGACATTTGCAAATTAATTTTTTTTTAAACAGGGTGATTAGCCTTTGGAATAGATTACCTTCAAGCATGGTAAATGAAACAGGGTTAGGAGAGTTTAAGAGAGGGCTTGATGAGTACTTGGAATGTCAAGGCTGGATAAAGGCAAATGGATGTTTGATGAAATGAATGGAGCATCCACAAAGGGTCAAAGTGACCTTTGTTGGTCCTTTTTAACATTATCTTTTGTTTTTTAACTTTGGATTAGTTTTTCCAGCCATTAAACTTCTAGTAAGAAATAATTAATGTGCTAAATCTGTTCTTTGTCTGCCAGTGTAAGTCTCTATG